CTTCATTTTCTCACAGAATGAATTTCCTTCAGGTGTTCTGAAAAGGAAAAGGAAATATCATGATTTATTTTCATTGATTTGATTTGCAGCAGATGCAGCATCATCTTAAGGAGGAGCTATTCTGTTGTTAAAATTGATTAAAACTCACCATCTGCCCTGCAGCTGGTGCAGGAGAAAAAAAAGACATAATCCATCTGAAAAAGCAGAAGGAAACAGAAAAATACCTCCGCAGATGTTTCAAGCTACGTTTATGTGTAATACAGAGAGTAGATTCTGATGATTTAGCACACTGTGAAGTGGATTTCTAGATGCTGAAAGGTTCTTGATAAAGGGCGTCTTCAGGCTTCACCTCTGCTCGCCGAGGTTTCAGGAGGATCGATGTACCCTGACTGTGTGAACATCTGCAGTGGCGATGAATTACCCAGAGTGGATCCCCCGCGGTTTCCACCTTCACCTCGGTGCTGCTGCAGAGCTGACGCCTCGCTCTCTCGCTCACTCACTCACCCACCCGTCCCCGCTGCTCGAAGTTTGATCTGTAGCGTTAAACGAGCTTTTATCACACATGCTGCTCGCCTTAAGTTATAATTATCAAATTATGTCAATGAAGAAGAAGTGTTAAGGGCTTTATGAGAAAAAACTCAAACATACTCCTCCTGTGGAGAGAGAGACAGTGCAGGGGTCATTATGGTGGGTTAAAATAATCTCAGCGTCCTGTGTCGGTGGTTGTTTAGCGTCTCCTGACAGCTCTGGCTCTCTGTGGCTCTCCTGAGACGAGGCAGGCTGTGTTTAGTTGGCATGTCAGAGGAACTGTAATAAACAGGAAGTCAGTCGCTGTCTGAGCAAAGCATGCTGGGACAGACGGCTGGTGATGGCAGTCATAGGCGAGCAGCCGCGCAATTCCTTTTTCGCCTCCATTAACCGCCGTTTGTGTTCATCGCAGTAATGGCAGAAAGCGATGGAAAATTCATACAGACCCCATCGAACAAGCTCCCCCCCCCCCCCCAAACATCACCCCCCTCCCCTCCCTCGCCTGCCTCACCCGTATAAAGATGAGTAATGTGTGCAGCGCCGTGCAGCCAGTGGAGGAATATATTATCCCTCCTTCTCGGGTGGCAGTGATGAATGTCCCGGACGAACTTGCTGCACAGTCACCCGGGGAAGTTCGGCGAGCCCGAGAGAGCACGACGAGCGAGAGACACTAAGACTAAAAGAGAGAGAGAGAGAGGGGGGGGGGGAGCACTTGAAGCAGTTTGATTCCTTTAAAGTTTTTAAGTGAACTCCATGCTGACAGGACGGGGACACGGCGCCCTGAGACCACCCTCTTCTTCCTCGCAATAAAGCATTAAATCTGCAGGGCGTCTTTCTTACTGAGCAGCCCCCCCCCCTCCCCTCCCCCACTCCCCCGCTGCTCTACAGGAAAGGGGACGGGTGGCAGCAGTCAATTAGCCTGTTTGCGTGATGGAGAGCCGGCTGAATAGTTTTGTCTGAGCCCACAGAGGCCCGCGGCGACCATCAGATACACATCACTTAGACGCTATGACAACTTAATGGCACAGCTCTTGTTTTATGTGCAGCTGCCTCCTCAAGGTTGTTCCCTCCGCCCACGCTGTGTTCACCGGGCCGCTCTTAAGGCTGGACTCGACGACAAACAGGAACATATTGACACCTGCCTTGCCTCTGTAATCAGCACGGCCTGTATTTAACCCTGTGGGCGCCACAACTACCAAAGGTCATTTTGAATTCTTTCTCGGTTATAAAAACACAGAAATGAAGTCCAAGCTTTGTACTGAGGATATGTCAAGTTGTTGTCATTTACCAGAGCAGGAAACAGACACAGTGATGTTCTAATATGAGGTTTTTTTTCCCCCTATGAAAAAAAAATATGGTCATAGTCTCAGTGATGTCATCAACTGGTCTCTGCAGAAGCTTTTTGAAGCCTGCATAGGCAATCTACCTAACTTCTCCTCGCCCTCCTGTCAATCACCGAAGTGTACATTTATCTCGTCTTTTCTGAACGTTTTCAGAGCAGTTGTAGCATCACTTCTTCTTCTGACTTCTTTCAAATGCTGCTTTCGTTTGAGTCGGATGATACAGATTTTAAGTTTTTGGTTTCACAACTAACTGCCAAAAACTTTCTGCAGTACCCCACGGGGTGTAGAGGGGTTGCACTGGTCCAGTACTTCCACCCTGGTTGTGTTTGCAGGTGAGGACTTGTGAAGGAGACGCGGGCACATTAGCAAAGCCGAGGCTCCCACTCTGCGCCCCGGCGAGGATTAATAACCTGTCACTGTGGGGCTGCTTTCCTCTCCTGCGCCTCACTGTTTCCTTCTGCGGAGGAGGAGAATGATACACTCCTCCTCCTCCTGCTGCTGCTGCTGCTGCTGCCTGCCTGGTTGTGCTTTCTCTGCCAACAACTTCCACACAAACAGCCCGAGTCACACATCGTTGTGCTTTTCACCACAGCCTATGGCGAGCGAAGACAAAGCAGTAATTGGTGCAGGAAAACCCATTACACACACAGGAGAGTGTTTGCAGCAGAATTAGTGCGCATAATGTGAACAAACATACGACCTCGTGGTAAAACACGTTTTCATAATAATCGACACAGGCCGGTCATTTCTGGAACGATAATAACCGAGGAAGTAAATCACTTCATGTACGTTTCTACTGATTCAGCAGTTTTTCTTCTTCACCTATCTTCAGTTTCTTGAATTTTTCAGAACGACAAAGCGTCCACCAATCCATCTCAACACTTTTTTTCCACTGACATCAACCAGAAAGATCCATGCAGCGGTTCAAAAACAGCTCAAATAATCCATTTATTCACCATCAAGAACAAAGGAGAGGTGCATCCTGGATTGTCAGATAGGGTTACCTTCATCCCGTTAACCTAAATCCCCTTCACGTATCAGCACCTGGAGGCTGAGGGAGTTTGCATTTAGGGTTTTATGCTTTTATTTTGAAATGTTAATGAATAAAATGATAGTTCAACTTTAGAGAACAATGAAGTGGCCGTTCAGGGGCGTCTGTGGCTCAGTTGGTAGACTTGGTCGTCTCTCAGCAAGAAGGTTGAGGGTTCGATCCCCAGCTCCTGCAGCCACATGCTTTGTCAGCGGTGTCTGAATGGGATGAGGTAATACTAATGGAGCTATTTGTGTGATTGAAAAAACAAGCAGTAGCTGCAGGGACCGAGTTAATGGGAAGTTTGCATTAACAGCAAATTCAAACAGCAGGCGACTAAAATCAGATGAATCTCCTCCCTCTCAGCGTGTTCCACATATAACCTGCATGGCTCGCTGCAGCTATCGTGAACAAACGGCCAGTTTTATTTTGCTTTAGTTGACAGTAAGCTCAAAAATCAGCTCTAAATCTCTCCCACCAGGAGCACACCGGCTGGCCCGCTCTCCCGTCAATTCAATATTTTCCTTAGCGGATGCTCTCATCGCGGATGACATTTGAGAGACTTCCAAGCAGGCTGGTCGGCAGGGCCGGGGATAATGGGTTTGTTCAGCTGCTGGTTCCAGGCTCACAGTGAAGCACGACGTCTGAGAGACACCGGGGCCGTGTGAGGACAACCAGGACACTTATTTTACTCTGGTTGAAAAGAGAAAGTGAAGACGAACATCTTTCTGCGTCAGATTCTGCAGGATAATTTACTGCACACCCTCGTTCATCTTCGGTGGGAGGATTCATATCTCCTCCTTCCATCTCCTCTCATGCAAAGGAGCCGCTCTTAATTCATAACCACCACCTACACATGTACTAATCACGCAGCTTAATCACAACTGGAGAGCTTCATAAACACAGCATTCATCTGCTTTAATTGCGGCGCTCCCTGCACGCTGCACTGAGAACAAATGGAGCAGCAGGAGAGGAGACAGATGTACACATGGCGGGGTCGGAAACATCCATCACTCTTATGTACCAATGATCAATCACTGGCGCTCAAGCTGGACGCTCTGTTGTGTCCACGCTGAGCGTCTTCAGTCCCCGTGAGCTGGAAGGAAGTTTCCTTTTTTTTAAAAACCCGGAGCAGTTACTGCAGTTCAAAGAAGACTACAGCCTCAGACTGTGTGGAGACAAGATATTATCTTTAATGAAGGTTTAAGGTTTTATCTTCTTGTTCTAAATGTCAACATTTCTTTTTATAAAACCAGAAACTTTGCTGTAAAGTCGAGTCTACATGATGCTCCTGCTACAGGCTGCACATGTAGCAAAGAGCATTTTTAACCTCTGATGCATTGACGCGTTGCCAGATGTGAAGAGAGCCACCCATAAATGACTCAGACAGCAAACCCGTTAGATTGTATATATTGGTGTTGATGGATTTGTTTTCATGAGGAGTTAATCGAGAGATAAATACTCTTCATGTAAGAGATGAAACATGAAGGCTGGATGATTTAAGGCCTGATTTGCCGCCTTTAATGATCGGGGGGGCGCGGTCTGTCACAACTGATCATTTGTCCAAAACATCCTGAGGTGTGTGGTGTCACTACGGTTATTTTTCTGCTCCTCCTCGACCTGGAATCTTAAATATCAAACATCTTTGATATTTAGGATTCGTCACCTACCGATGTTGCGGTTTATCTGTTGCACGATGTCCCTGAATCCTGTTGCCAACACGTTTATCTGACGACCCGATGAAACTCTCCTCCCACTCCTCATCTTTAACTGCAGTTCGGTTCATTTGAATGGAACTTTATTGACCTCTCACAAGTTTAACTATGCAGCCATCTTTTTAGTTTTCCCTTTCTTTGCAGATTTGTTTCAGCAGATTCACGTGGCGTCAACTTCAACTTTCTTTATAACGTCACAGCTGTAAAGTGGTTCAAACTTCACACACCTTTAATGTCTGTTTGAAAACCTGCCCAGCTCTGACATGTAACTGAGTTTAACTTAAGGTGGAATATCCTGCACGGGATGCAGCCATGTCTGCTTCGAGGTTTTGCTGGATAGAGAAACAATATTCTTATTTTTTCCCTCCTTTTGTCTCACTACAGATATCCACGATGAGAACGGGTTAAAGCCGGTCATGGTTTACATCCACGGCGGCTCCTACATGGAAGGAACCGGCAACATGATTGACGGCAGCATCCTGGCGAGCTACGGGAACGTCATCGTCATCACTATCAACTACCGGCTCGGCGTTCTGGGTGAGTCCACCAATCTGCGCGCTGTAATTAGTTTGGAGAAGGCTGAGATTGAGTTATTGATTCGGGGGGATTGATTTAATGACTAATTGGGTTCCATTGTTTCTCCGTCCGGCTGCTCTTTGTGCAGAGGAAAGATATGGCATTTGGTGTTTGGGCGTACATGCAGCGAGGTCAGCAGTGGAAACCTCCTGAAGCTGTTTGTGATTCTTTAATTACTCAGAGTTAAGCATGTGTACCTCGGATTGTTTCTCACAGAGCGAATACACTGAGCAGCCAGAGATGGTGCATTGTTTCTGTTGCCTCCAGCTATCGAGAGTTTTGTTTTCCCAGATCCAATCAGCTGCTAATGGAAGCGTTGCTGGTAGTTTGGAGGTCGTCTTTATTCCAGTGGTTGTATGTTCCAACTCAGCCTGGAGTGACCCCCATGGCTCCAGATAAGCACATGCAAATGAAACAAAGACTCTTACATTTGTTGCCTTTTCGATTACTTTAATCACTCTCCTGCATCAGACATCCTGCAGCCCTGAAAATTCCATGCTGGGAAAATTGATCTGTTGTGATCCGAGGCGGTATCTCCACCGCAGAGCCGCCGTGCATCTGATTTAGTTCCCGTCTGTTAGATGAAAGTAGCTCCTCGCTCTCACAGGGATTCTTTATCTTGCCTTTGACATAAAGGTTTGCCTTCTGAATGTCTGTTGCCCTAGAAAATGTCTGAGTCCAGGCTGATAACATCAAAGGTTTTTTTTTGGGGGGGGAGAGAGTTTTGAAAATTCAGCCACTCTATATTGAAATCCTTCAGGAGGATTTCTGGCTGTACTTCGCCCCTCTTCTGTTAAAGTTTAACCAACGTTTGCTGTGGAAATGGTGGCTGGAAAACTCTCGGAAAGAATTCTCGGCTCGGTTTGAGCCTTCAAGTTTTTCCTCTTTATAATCATCTCAAATTGCCAAAGCATTCTGGGGAAAATAACACCAAGGTGTGTTACCTGGGTTTTTGAGCCTTGGCTGCATAGTTACCTCATCCATTCAGGGACAAACGAACACAACAACGTGTCCCTTTCAGCAACTTTCATCTGCCACCCTCCAAACTCACCAACACTACAGCCCCCAGTACCATCGAATCAGAGAACAGGATACAGGATACAAGGTCTTTGTAAAGCATTGGAAGGTTTGGTTATTGGGTTGAAAATGTGCACATTGGGAAGAAAATTATCTTAAGTATGCAAAGGAAGCCAGAGATGTTCCAACGCCAACACAAGCATTGGTGTTGACATCTGATGAAGTCTAGAATTCTCTATTTTGTATCAATGGTCATGCAGAGATCCAATAACGTGATTTATAGGACTATTCAGGACGATTCATCGACTAGTTTCAGATACAGTTTCTTGCAGAGACTGTGGAGTCAGTTCAAGCTAGCTAAATTTGGCAATCGATGTTTTTTCAATGTCCAATGTTAATGTGTTTGTTTTTTTGTTGCAATGGAATCAAGGAGAAGCTTTTTATTGGTGCACACTTACAGTTAGGTATCAGACTCTGCGTCTGAAAGGAAAAGAGAAAGAATTGAAACGTCTCTACATAAAGAAAAGCCAAAGAAAGATCCAAGTCTCGGTCCTAACTTCTCCCCTTCTAGGTCGCTCGCTTGGAGCTTCTTGTTGTTTCATGAAGCTATTTGGATTTTGAAGATGATAAAACACTCTGTAAATAGACTGAAAGAGTCTGGAAATTGCATTCTTTCACAAGCTTTACATCCTGTGAGCCAACCTACTTTATTAAGCCTCACCTTTATAAACAGTTCTGTCTAATTGGTGCAGCGAGTGAGGCTCGTCCCTCGGGGGCAGATTTCCAAGGCTGTGTCAGAGCTGCAACATTTTGCATCACCATGGCGAGGTATTTATAGACGGGGAAAAGAGGCAGTTGACTTCATTTGAAAATAGTCCTGTTGCTGTGCTACTTAAAAGGCGTTTTGTCTGAAAAGTAAGGGAAGTGAGAATCCTGAAGCTTCACAGCCAGAAATGTTGGTTTACAAAGGAGCCATCAAAGCTGCGTCAGAGCTGCAGTCACTCTCCTCGCTCTGTAAGATGGAGGCTTTGTTGGAGGAAGCAGCAGTGTGATAATGCTCTCAGCTAAGCGGCTGAATTATAAAAATAAAAAAAATCTCATCACTGAAGCTCAGAGCTTCTCATATCCTCCTCTGGTAACATGAGCAGTGATGTGTGATGCAGAAACAGGCCTCTCTTCTCTCAGAGATCCTCCACCAAGCCAGCAGAGCCTCTGAGGACTGAAGCAGACTCTGTGTCTGCACACCAGGCAGCACAGATTTTAACACCTGCTTCCCAAACACCTTCAATTATAAATACCTGTCTTTGATACCTTCTGTTACCGAGGTTTGGAGCACAAGTATTGATGCTTTTGGCTGTAAACCAAGCAAACAACTTTTACAAGTCTTCTGAATAAAACATTGAGAAACATTTTCCATGCTCTTTAGTGTGACACCAACAACTAGTTTCTGATGTTTTCTACAACTTTTTCAGTATTTGAGGTCCAATCAGTGAGATGTGTAGAGACTGAAATGTTAAAATGACCGTACTATATGATCAGACATTAAGGAAACATGCAATGAGCAACCTTCAGTGTTAACAAATGAAGCAGCCCCTGGAGTGTCCACTAGAGGCTGGCTGCAGAAGCACAGGAAGTCACATACACACCCATTCTAAAAAGCCTGTTTTTACAGCAGAGATGAACATGTTTACAGCCTGGTTCAAAAAACCAAATAGGTGTGATTAGCTCATGTCTGGATGGACACAACTGTACGGGGGGTGAATGTTTTGATGATTCATCAGTTTTGATTTGATGAAGGATAAGAGTTATTCACAATAAGGCGTGTAGCTGACCTGATTGACAGGTGGGCGCGGTGTAACGGTTTGTCAGGAGGTTTAAAACCCGCCTCAGCTCCAGCTCTCAGCCTGTCGTTAGGTTGACTGAAAGTTAGACTGAGACAGCATTTCCAGCATGGAGACCGCCATCGATGGGACTCCGGCGCCCCCTGCAGGAAGAGATGGGCGACGACACTTCAAACATTCATATTTACGCTCATGCATTGGCTTAATCCGTTAAGACTTTTGGTTGCCACTTTGGAAATATCAAAGCATGACATCCAGAGTTGTCCTTTTTTTCAATCCTTGAAGCGCCATCTTAAAGGGCCACTACCTGATAAAGGCCACGCTCCAAAACGACCATATTGTCCCCATCACCAAACCTACTTTAGAGTTGGACACAAATGGTTAAATATACAGAACAGGTTGTGGATTTTGTTGGCAGCAAAAGGGACTGATGCAAATTTAGCATGTAATCAATAATGGCTTCTAAAACTCAGATTATAATGACACAGACACTAAAACAGCACGATGTTTGAATCTGTGTTGTGATCTTTTCATGCACAGCTCACATAAAAGATGATATATCTCCACTGCACATTGCATACAATACGGGATGTTCTTCAAAGAGAGCGTATAAAAAGTGTATCGACATTTCTTTGCACAGTAAATGATTTCTTTTGGTACCACTCGAGTTGCACTTAAATGATCTGAGCACAATGCATGCGTTACGTCCCGTCGATGTACCTTCATTGTCTGCAGCTTTGAATTTAAGGTTTGAAGGTGTGAGTGATTTTGATGCTTTCTGCATCTGGTTCATTGTCTGTGCAGCTCATTCAGCAGCTGCTGCTGCTGCTGCTCTGCTTACCATTTGTTATAAGGCTGAGCTGTCTGCACCAGTCACTATATTTAGTTTCCTGAGAGCCGAGGGGGAAGAGGTGTGCTGGAGAAGTGTGCACTGCAGAGAGGAATAAAAAAAGAGAGAGAGAGAGATGAAGAGGGAGAATGCAGATGAGGAAACAGATTCAGACAAAGAGGAGAAAACAGCGAGAGAGGAGCAGACAGAGTGACAATGCAGGAACCGAGATCTTGTTAGGCTGCGACAAAAAAAACACCAAAAAATATACCAGTCCCAAATCACAGTGTGTGTGTGTGTGTGTGTGTGTGTGTGTGTGTGTGTGTGTGTGTGTGTGTTCCAGCTTCACTAATTGACACACAGTACATTCACTCTGTGCTCAGATTTAATTCTGGTGCCGCCCCGGTCGCAGGAGGGGCGTCATGTGTGCACAGAAAAGTGACAAAAAGTGAAGACAGAAGCTGAATCATCGCAGAGAGGAGACGTGCAAACAGAACTGGACTCACTCTCTTAACTGAAAAGATTCAAACTGGTTTCACCTTGAAGGCTTGCTCTCTCGTTGGTGTTAGTTACAGATTTCTCTTTAAATAACTCTTATCTGAACAAACTTATTTTGTGTCAGATTGCACAAGAAGAAGAAGGTGTTGTTTACCTTCCTCACACTTTGGAGAGGTGCTGCTTCACACACAAACTAAACGTGTCTGCAGCTCTGGAATGTTTTCTTTTTGTTTCAACACTTTGCATCAAAGCTGAACTAATGCACATGCCGGTAAAATGATCAGTCAGTCAGATCAGGACACAATTCCTCTATTTTCATCCTAGTAGTAAAAGTGACCAAATCAAAGAAAACCAATCACACTTCTTTGTGGTTTGTTCTTTGATCAGGAGTCTCCGTTCATCCTGCAACCACACCGGCTGATATTAAAAGTCGTCCAAAGCAGCGTAACAGCTGTCGTCTCACCTCACAAGATTTCCTGGTGTTGCACTTCAAAAGATTCGAACAGAAACCTCCAGCTGCTGTGGGGAAGGTGCTACCATGCTCAGTGCATGAAAAGTGCACGCAGTACTGAGGCGGACATCTTGTGACGGAGACGATGAGCTCTGAGGACTGTGCAGCTCTTCAGTCTGTGCAGCTCTTCAGTCAGTGCAGCTCTTCATAGAGTCTGTGCAGCTCTTCAGTCAGTGCAGCTCTTCAGTCAGTGCAGCTCTTCAGTCAGTGCAGCTCTTCAGTCAGTGCAGCTCTTCAGTCAGTGCAGCTCTTCATAGAGTCTGTG